GGAAACGGTCGTTTTGCATGGCGATCCCCGGCGCCATCCTGATAACCTGTCCCAACGCGTAACGCACGCGGCGCGGTCGAATCTCTCTAGACCGAGTTTCAGCCAAAACTGAGATTTCGCCCCTCTGCAGTATACCTACCATAACTCAGTGAAATCGCCTCAAAATGCCGAAGGAAAATGATATTCGTAATCAGCATATCAATTAGCCCCCCCCCCTCAAAGTTTCAGCGAAATCCATGATTTTAGCTTCTTATGTGTACCCAAAGTAAACCCAGAAAATGGCGCTATATCGCGCGAAATGACTACGATATCCGTTATCAGCGGCTTTAGTAATCCCCGTGTACCGACTTTGAGCAAGATCCATCACAAAAACATTTTGGGGCCGGATAGCCGAATGGCGTCATCAGTTTTCAGAATTATCCTTACTTTTACCGGTTATATTGCTTTTTTTGCCAAGTTTGAGCTACGGGGCTGGGGGTTGTTGAGAAAGTAGGTGGGCATGCTAATTACTAACACAGCTGGAATAGGGAATTGCACGTAGAAGTGGGCACAATGAAAGGTTCTATAGGGACAGGGATAAGACCTTAATCATAGAATTGACAGGGCCGGGCGGAGCCGGGTAAGCCACCTAGTTTCGATATGTCCTGAGATCTCACTTATGTCTACTATGTATAAACATGTACAGCAGTGCCGTAGTACTATATATCCTCAGTACATTTTATTGCGGTCGCATTGAGTTCCAGAAAGATAAATGAGTTTGAAAATGAACAAAACAGTGAATTTCTAATTTTGTATGGCGGTACCCTGGCAACCATTATGCGCAGGTCCACGGTATGAGAAAGAATCTTTGTAACTCAGATAGAGAAAGAAGAAGAAAGATATTCCAAAGGAGATAAGACGTGTCTCCTTCCAAATTCCCTCCCGCGGGATGTACATGCATACGGGCATTAGGTGTAGTATTTTTTTATCCTAGCATGTGTCCCGCTCAAACAGGGTCTGCTCTTCTTGTTGGATGTCTCCATGCCATCCTGTCTGAGGCAAGGTCTTCGTTCATACCAAGTTCTCGCTGGTCGGCCTTGATTCTGTCCATCCACCTCTGGGCCTTTTGCCTGGTTCCACAGCCAAAGCCAGCTTGGTGATCTGACTTTCATCCCTTCTGCGCACATGCCCATATACCATCGTAACCTCATTTCCTGCATTTTCTGGGCAACTGGAGCTACTTTCATTCGCGCTCGTATAGTGTTATTGCAGATGTGATCCTTCAGTGTGACTCCTAAAGTCCATCGTAGCATCCCTTGTTTCCATGACACTGAGCTTGCGCTCCTCGTTCCGCGTACACCGCCAACACCCATACAGTGCTGCTGGGCGGATAACGGTCCGATAGAGTTGGGACTAAAGTTGCACTGGCATTCTTCTATCTCACAAAAATCCTGTTAATGCTCTCCATTTCATCCATGCTGTGTTCATCCTGCCTGCGACCTCCTCTTGTAAGCCTCCCTCCGCTGAGATATGGCTACCTAGGTACTTTATGACGTTGTCTTCTTTAGCTCTTCATCATCGATGCTTATGGTACCTGGGGTTTGTTTCCCCACTTCCATTATTCTGTCTTCCTGATGCTGAGCTTCAGGCCATACAACTCTAGCCTATTTTTCCAGTTTTGCACCTCGTCTTGTAGCTCCTTTCTGGTACTTGCTATTAAGACCACATCATCTGCGTAGAGAAGTGTCTAAGGGGGTTCACGTCTGAGCGGTCCATCACGGCGTTCATCACAGTGATGAAGAGCAAGGGAGAGAGAACTGAACCTTTGGTACTCCAACTTCAATTTGGAATTCTTTCGATTGGCCTGCAGCTGTTTGCTCGTGGCTTGACGCGTTGTGGTAGATCAACTTAATCCACTAAACGTACTCCTCTGGCACCCTGTGTTTTTGTAAGGCTCACCATATGACTTCATGGGGCACCTCATCGAAGGCTTTCTCCAAGTCCAGTAAGGCTGCAAGCAATTCCTTCTGCTTCTCTCTATACTTCTCCATCACTATCCGGGCGAAGTGGATTGCGTCGGTTGTACCCACTCCTTTCAAGAATCCGCGCTGATTCAATGACAACTCTATGATATCTCGAAGGCGTCTCTCAATTACTTGCTCGAAGATTTTTATAGTGTGGCTCATCAGTCGGATTGGTCGATAGGACGCGCAGTCTGCTATGTCTCCTTTGTTCTTCCATATCGGGATGGTCGTGCTGGTGTAGCAGTCGCGAGGCATACTCTTGCTCATAGCCATGTGGCTCCGGATTGCCCACATAATTTCCAGAACTTGCTTGGTATGTCGTCTGGACCAGTCGCTTTGCCATTCTTTGTTCTTCTTACGGCCAGCCATACTTCCTCTTCCGTGACTGCTGGTACTGGTCCCTCATAAGGCTGGTGGGATGGAGATGATGGTGCGGCCTGCGGTGGCCATCTCTTCAAAGTAGGTTCTCCATCTTTTGGTAATGTCCTCTGGTTTTCTTAGCGTCCTATCAAGTTTGTCTTTGATATAAAGGAAGTGTTCCATAACTCTGGTGGATTCCGCTCTTCTTCTCGCTATCCAATATATCTCGCGTTCTCCCTCGCAAAACTCTAGTTGATCGCAGAGCTCTTTCAAGTACACCTGTTTTGCCTTCTTTACGGAAGCCTTAGCGTGTTTGGCTTTCTGGTATGTCTGGCAATCGTCTTCCGATTTCGTTTTATGCCATCACTTGCACGCTCTTCACTTTTATGACTTTTTCCACTTCGTCATTCCACCACCATTAAGCCTTCTTTTTCCTGGCTTTGTACTTCCCAGGATCATGTGTGCCACTTCGTGGACTCTATCTTTCAAGCTCGCCCAAGATCGCTCTTGGTTCTCTTGCAAGCTTGGTAGAGTTGTTAGAAGTGCTTCTTTCGCCGTGTTATTGGTTTTCAATCTCTACCATTTAATGCGTGTCCTGTCTCTGTAGCTCTCCTGATGTGCCTATCCGTGATTGTTTTGATGTCGAAAAGCAGTGGTTCATGTTGGGTATGCAGCTCTCACCGGAGAATGACTTTGCAATACTTTACGTTTCTGAGGTGTCACCCTGTCGGATCGCCCAGAAGTCGATCTGTGTTCGTCGGTCGACACTCGCATATGTAATGAGGTGATCATCCTTTTTGATGTAGTATGTGTTCGCCAAGACCAGATCATGGGCTGAAGCAAATTCCAGAATACGCTCACCTTCTTCAATGCATGTTCCGTATCCGTGGCCTCCGTGACATTTTCCGGCTTCTCCTCACCCTCCTCCCACATGTCCGTTGAGGTCCGCTTCTAGCAGGAGCGCCTTTCCAGTGGAATTGAACTGATATAGTCATCCAGCTCTGAAAGAACGCGTCCTTTTCATCATCCTTACAACCTACTTGTGGCGCATGGGCAGTGATTACTCGTAGGACCTGTTTCATGGTGTCTACCTTTATGCTCATCAGATGATCGCTTATGCGTTCAATGTCAACTATATTGCTCCTTAGAGACTCCGATACAGCTATACCAACCCCGTTCCTGGTGCAGGTAGCACCGTTGTAGAGGAGCTTATATCCATCTCCGATATCGCGTGACTTTGCCCCGCTCCACTTCGTTTCTTGTATGCATGCTATATCGACTCGCCGTCACTTCAGAAAAAAGATCAGAAGATCTGCTAACTCTCGCGAACGAGAAGTGAGTGTACCCATATTGATGGTAGCTAGACAGAGAGTCTGCGATGCCTTGGATCGTTGCCTCTAGTGAACTAGCCGCTTTAGCCGTCCCCGTACACCTTGCTGGGACGGTAACTCTCGCCCACAGTTCGCATTCGTCGGGCTCGAATGCGTGTCGCCTCCGAGGGACGCCCTAGCCTTTACTCGAAATACTTTACGAGACATGTCTGCATTGTAGATGCGACAGGATGTTTTTCAGCCGGCTTGTCGCGTACCCTTCTTTGGAATGGCAGCCTGACGCTGGGATTGTGAGCAGAATTTTTGTCGCAGAAACTAGGCTCAGGGTGGAATCGAACCCGCGACCTTAAGCACGGTAATGTTACGCAGAGCACTAACCACTAGACTAACTCTGCTCATTAGGTGTAGTATTTTGTAGATTTAGAATCCGCTCAGGTTCAGAGGGGCTTTGACCCGCTAAGTATGGATACATTCTTCGTTATGCCTGTAAGCCTTGTAAGGGCCTTCAATTTATGCTATCTTAGTTGTGCAATAGTTCGGTGGGGGGGGGGGGTGTTATTAACACGTTGACGACAACGCGCATTTTCAGCTATCTGCCTTGTGGGACAATGCCTTCCATGAAAAAGTTGAAAATTTTCAGCTAAAATTAAGCATATCGTCATCTACAGTAAATCTACGGTAATTTTAAGGAGCAGAAAAGAAATGCGGTAGTAAGCCGTAGAATCAGAGCGTAAGAGAACTTCTGAAACGAATTTACCTCAAGACTGTTTTCGTTTTGACGAATTTCAAGCCATGACCCACCATGTGGATCACCTTGTCCCACATGGCAGTCACTGCGTGACCCACCATGTGGGTCACGCTGTCGTCAATGTGTTAAGACAGCAAATAAAGGGGGGGGGGGGGTATCCAGCGATGGTGAGCCACTTCTCTTACATGACCCTGGTCACAAGCTATAACGCTAAAAAAATTTTTTTACGTCCAATTCACGTGGTGTATTTTTGAAAACCCCCCGCATAGATTGTACTGTTTAGCGTCTCTCAATGCATTTTCGACTTACTTTGTCATTGGCAATTATATACTCTAGATCCCGTTAAAATTTCGAGCACAAATTTGTCAAATTCTGAAAGATTGCTCATTGAAGTTGTATAGTCGGTCTCAAGCTATTTTGCAGACTTTAATATACGCCAGCGTCTATAGTAGTCAACGGAACAATTACAAGTACTTGCCCATCCAACGCTAAGAGATCTTTTTTATTTTTCCTTAGCCCCTTCTTTGAAGAATCACCTTCTTATTAAGTTTCTTCCAGCTGCACAGTGATCCTTATACAACAGCAGAACGTGCTTTATGGTACCGCAAGTGGAACGACTATACTTGCTTCACCAAAGTGAGATCATTTGTGTGCAAGAAAATGGCTTTGCACTAGTGATATTCATATGGTTTGCGTTGTTATTTTCAGTCTTGACGATACCGAGTGTTGATAAATTTCGCCTTTCAAAAATTTGTTCTACATTTTAGAATGGCAAGGCATTTTATCACACTCCATGATTAGCAACAATATGTTGATCGGCAAATGGTGCTGTTCATCTTTAGCTATAAACTAAACCGAAAGGTGCGTAATTGTTGAAACAATCCGATAAAAAAAGGAATCTTGCATTCTATGACACTGCCCGTAAATTTTGTTTATTCACAAATAAATTTACACCGTAGACGGGTTAAAAGTGACCATGATATCAGTGGTTACTGCCTCTTCCTTTGCTTTTTCAACAAATGCAGTCTAAAGCGCATGAAGAAAACATTTATAGAGTAGGTCACCATAATTTTTGTTGCATCCACGCAAACTTATCACTCCTTGATTTGAATGCGAGCTTTTAGGTCTAAAACCGTCAGTTTGATGTATGATACTGGGTTTTAAGAACTCCTCAAAAAAAAAGTCCTCCCACAATGGTCGGTCGCCTCATCGTGGCGTGGGGGTGACACGGGTGTCGCACTGCGATGCACAGCCGAGTATATAATCTGGTAGGGCCTCCCAAGCTGTGAAGGAGTTCGACGTTTTCGGTTTCGGCCGGATGCCTAGCTAAGAACCGGCCACGCCAGATCCCCCGCCGTCTGGCTTTTTCTGGTCGCTAAGCGGTCCCTCCCCGCTCCAAGCCCGGGGTCAGCGATCACCCCGTGGAAATCAAGAGTAGGCCTAGTAAGACATCTTTTGCAGGGAAAAATTCATATTACTCCTCCAGTTAGAAGATTAGAAAGAAACCCTGCACATCGTATCCCGCCTACGGCGCCGAGTGGTAGCAAAAACGATGTCAGGGTACTCAAGGCGCCTTTCGGATTGGACAAAAACGACACGTTTGCCCGGAAGACACGTCATGGAGACTGCCTCATGCTCTGCACCTACAACGCCAGGACAGTTTTCGCAAACGCCGACCTCTATGCTCTTCTCGACGCTGCAGAGCACATCAACTACCACATCATCGCTCTGCAGGAAACGAAGTTCAGGAAGAAGGACGTGCGGCAGATGAATGATGGGACGCTCATCATTCGTGATGAGAAGGTTCCATCACGGAACGTGGGAGGCGTTGGCTTTGTCGTCCACCCATCTATTGTCCATCTTGTCGATTCGCACGAGATCCTATCACCCCGCAGCTAGCCATCCTACGACTACGCCCTCCACGTCAGAAGATTATCAGCATCATCAGCTGCTACTCTCCAACATCAGCAGTTGACGACTCAGAACTAGATGCTTTCTACGAAGACGTGGAGGAGGTCGTCCGCAACGAAAATTCTTTCTACAGATATGTTGTGGGCGACTTCAATGCGAAAATCGGGATGCCACTAGAAAAGGAATATAGGATCGGGAAGTTTGGATATGGGCTCCGGAACGAAAACGGCAACCGTCTCGTTGGGCTTCTCTCCGCCGCACGACTTTTCCATGGAAATTCCATCTTCACGAGGAAAGAACATTGCCAATGGACATGGGAATCGCCCAACGGAGCGACTCACGCGAAGGTCGACCACATTCTCACCAACCGAAGGTGGAGCTTGCTCGATGTCTCAGTAGTTCCATCTTTCTGTAGTGGCTCCGATCACCGCTTCCTTCGAGCGAAGATACGACTCAGCCGAAGGCTGGAAAAGAAAGTCTGACATAGTGCCGCGAGAAGGAAGGAAGTCGTTTATGACGGTAACAGGCTGGAAAAGCTCATATCAAGTTGTGACTGGTCCATCGAGAAGGACCCTACATACGACTACGACCGGCTTCTGAAGGGATTGCGAGCCTGCGGAGAATGAGCCTCAGTAATTTCTGAGAAGAACTTGGAACGCATTTCGAAGACCACCAAGGAATTGCTCGAAAGAAGAAGATTCTTGAGGCAGGATATAAATGCAACCCATCTCGAGCGACTGATAGCCAATGCCAGTTCCAGAACAGCTTTGCAAGAGGATTTCAGGAAGTACAGGCAAGCCAAGATACTGGAAGCAGCCGAAAGAAGACGAAGTCTCAAGAAGTGCTGAAGGGACCTCTACGAATATCACGTACCGCTGGCTGCACTACTGAACGAAGACGGGTCTCCGACTTCTTCCCGATACAAGATGGAATCTATCGCGAAGAACTTTTACACCAACCTCTTCCGCTCATGAACACCCATGCAGATGCCCGTTGTTCCCACTGGAGAAGTACCACCACGAATTCTACCTGCTGAAGTGCGTATCGCGATACAGACCATGAAGACGTCCACGGCTCCAGGACCAGATCATCTTTCCGTCGAACTTCTGCGAGCCGGAGGACACCGTCTACACGAGATTCTAGCGTCGCATTTGACATCTTACCTTTAGAAGGAGAAGATTCCCGACCAGTGGAGAACGTCAAGAACCGTCCTTCTCTTCAAGAAGGGTGAACGGGAGGATCTTCGGAACTATCGTCCAATATGCCTGCTGAGTGTACTGTACAAGCTTTTCACGAAGGTTATCCTCGCTCGCATATCAAGGACGCTGGATGAAGCCCAACCCCAAGAACAAGCTGGATTTCGCAAAGGATTCAGCTGCAGGGACCACATCCAGACCGTTTCGAGGGTCATAGAAGTCTGCCGGAAGTACCGACTGCCCCTCGTCCTAACCTTCGTCGACTACGAGAAAGCCTTCGACATCGTCGAAACCAACGCCATCCTGTCAGCGCTAGTCGATCAAGGAGTGGACCCAGCCTACGTGAAGACACTAGACAACTGCTACAAGGACTGTACAACAACGATACAGCTGTTCCATCGCCCCCTGACCATACCAATCGGGAAGGGGGTCCGACAAGGCGACACAATCTCGCCGAAGCTGTTCACCGCGGCCTAGCAGTGGGTGATGAAGTCACTGGACTGGGACGAGAGAGGCATACGAGTTGATGGGAGATTTCTGTCCAACCTTTGTTTCGCGGACGACATCTTTCTCTTCTCGAGCAGTATCACGGAAGCAGAGACGATGCTGAAGGAACTGAACGAAGTAGGGAAGAAGATCGGACTGCGAATAAATCGGAAGAAGACTCAGTTCATGAGGAACGCCCTTTGCGAAGATGCAGAAATGGAATTGGAAGGCACCCCTATTATGGAGACGTCTTCTTACGTGTATCTGAGACGTTCGATGAGCATGTAGAACGACTTGAGGGAAGAACTTAACAGGAGAAGAAGAGCAGCCTGGGCCGCCTTCGGGCCGCTGAAGGAAGCCACCCACCAACTGACGGACCAGGAGCTTCGTGCCCACCTGTTCGACTCAACCGTTCTCCCGGCGCTCTGTTACGCAGCTGAGACTTGGGCCGACACTGTAGCCACGTCGAAAGCTTTACGGACCACCCACAGAGCGCTCGAGCGCAGTCTTCTGAAGATGACCCGACGCAAGCAACATCTAGTCGGACTTCGCAGCACGAATATGAGAAGAATGTCCCGTCTTCGTGACCCGCGGAATACGTTGCTAAAGCCAAACACCGATGGGCCGGTCACATAATGAGAAGAACAGACGATAGGTGGACACTAAGAACATCTGAGTGGACTCCTCGCGAAGCCGAACGCCCTCGAGGAAGACCACCGACGAGATGGGCAGACGTGTTCGTGGAACGGATGGGCCAGCTGAGAAATCAGCTGGATACGACATTCGCCCCTGGAACTCGTGGACGCAGCCACCGACGACGGCCAAGAAGATCGTGAATGTCTGAAGCGAGGGACAGGGAAAAATGGCAACCTCTGTACTGGGGCCCGCACGTCACGTGAGAACGGGCCATCTAAGTATCTAAGTATCCAAGTAAGTAAGCATCTTCAAAAAAAGTCATGAGCTTTTTGGAGAAACTCGTAATCAGTGACATACATTGAAGGTGAGCGGTCGAAAACACTCAATTTTAATGGGTGTGCGTTTTTATTCTAATAGTACTTCAGACACTATGATAATTGAGTTGATTTGATATGCCCGCTTCGCAGTCGGTTGTCTGTTGGATGAACTAACATTAACTCATTCATAAGGATAAATGAGTTATTGAAAATGTGTCAAATGCAGCACAATGGCGTGCGTTGCAGTGACGAGAGCTTTTCCCAAAAAGATGCTACAGTCTCCCTGGAAATTCTCGCGCGTTGCACAATCAAAATCATTCAATTTCGAAACCCCATTCAATTGACGTTTAAAGGGACCCATACATACTGACTACCTCTCAAGCATATGTAGTGAAAGAATCTCACCGAAAGAAGATGTCCACATAAAAGGCAGCACAAACATAAGAATTCTGCATGAATCATGGCCCTTTTCGATTCTTCACACCGTCCACTGTAGCTCCGTATTTCGAAAACAATTGAGGATTGCGAGTTCGTTATCAACTTGAAGATGAGCTTCCTGTATCATGCTTTTCGCAAAACGTTGCAGTGTTCGTTCGAACGCTGTTCAACTGGCCTTTTCAATCGTTGGATGGAGGTGTTGCAAATTATTTACAGGTGTTCTCTTAGACATAGCAAGCTTTTCCGGGCGCTATTTGGCTATTGGGCCCCAACATTTCCTTCCATCGATTTCGCTAAGACTTACCTCAGGGGGGGGGGTACTTGTTTTTTCCTTGCGAAGACGCCTTTCCGTGCGGTTACGGTAGAGGGGGAGGGGCAAAGCTATGGATTTCGCTAAAACTCAAAATTTCGCTGATGCCAAATATCATATTTATATTTCGTAGGTAACATGGTGTCATTTTCTAGGGCTACAGTGGGTATACCCCCCGGGGTTCAAGTCATGAATTTGGCTATTACTTAGTCTAAAAAGTTATCTGACAATCACAAAGATTATAATCTTTTCGCATGATGAGGCCTTCTTATGAAGTTACTGTAGGTTTGCGGTGAGAGTCAAAAATAGCAAATTTGCTTGAAACTTCGTGTTTGGGTGTTGGGTGTAGACCGACTCGTCCTAACGTCATGCTTTTTATACAGAACCATCGCCGCGCGACACAGCGGCG